CTCATGTGCGGTACTGGATCAAAGGCCTTCTGGAAGTCTAGAAATACGCAGTCTGCCCAGCTTTCTCTGTCCTGCCTTATCCTTTCTATTTTATCATACAATTCCAAAAGGTTTGCTAGGCATGATTTCCAGGTCCAGAACCTATGTTGGCGTTTGTTTACAAACCCAATGCTCTCCAAGTGAGCAACAAGTCTTAGCCTAATTATTCTTTCAAGTATTTTGCAGGGGATGCTTGTTAGTGATACGGGTCTGTAGTTGAGTGCCTCCTCCCTATCACCTTTCTTGAAAATCGGTACGACATTTGCCTTCTTCCAGCATCTGGGCAATTCTCCCGACATAAGTAACTCATTAAATATCATTGCCAGAGGTACGCTGAGAGCCTGCGCTGCCTCTTTTAGTATCCGCGGTGATACTTCGTCGGTTCCAACCGCTTTAGTTGCGTCCAGTGTTGTCAACTGTTTTATTACTTCCTCTGCTGTCACCTCTATGTCTGATAGTCTTCCGTCTAGGGAAGACTAACAATGGGACTAACAGCTCTTTTAACAATGGGAGCTGCTCAGGCCCGGTTGTGAACGCTCCATGGAAACTTGCATTCAGTACCTCGCAGATTTCCTTGTCATTTTCTGTATATGCCCCTTCTGTTCTCCTCAGTCTTGTCACTTGTTCATTTACCGACATCTTCCTTCTTATATGGCTATGTAGAAGTTTAGGTTGTTTTTACGCCTTGATTCCAATGTCATTCTCGTAATTTCTTTCCGATACTCGTCTTATGGTAATGTGACCGTTCCTAGCTCTGTTACATCTAATTCTGTTGTCCTCTGTCCTTTGTCTTCTGTTCTTCCTCCACTCCCTCCTGCTTCTCATTTTTGCTTCCTGACACTGTCTGTTAAACCATGGGTTATTATATTTCCTCCTTTTTTCCTTTACTGTTGAAATAAGTCTCTCTTCAGCCTCCTTGCATTTCCATATGACATGGATCATCATATTTTGCACTGTTTTTCCTCTAATTTCCTCCTTCCACTGCACTACTTCTAGGTTGTTCCCTATTCGTCTGTAGTCCCCTTTCCTGTAATCAATTCTCCTTTCCCGGATCTCATGTCCTTTGGACACAACTTTGAGTTCCATCGTGTAGTCAAAGACTAGGACATAATGGTCACTGACTCCTAGTGGTATTTCATGTTCTAAATTCTCGATGTCTTCTACATTTTGGGTAAAAATTAGGTCTAATAGGCTCGGCGTATCCCCTCTTTCCCTAGTGTCTTCCTTCACATGCTGTGTTAGGAAATTCCTGTCAATAACGTCTACTAACTTCGCTCCCCTGGTCTCCTCCCCGCCATGGGGATTCCTCGTTTCACAATTTATCATGCTTATATGTGTGTGTGTGTGTGTGTGTGTGTGTGTGTGTGTTAGTGTGTACTCATCTAGTTGTGTTTGCGGGGGTTGAGCTCTTGCTCATTGGTCCCAGCCTCTCAACGGTCAATCAAATAGTGTACAGATTCCTGAGCCTATTGGGCTCTACCATATCTATATTTGAAACTGTGTATGGAGTCTGCCTCCACCACAACACTACTTATTGCATTTCATTTGTTAACTACCCTAACACTGAAAAAAATTCTAACGTCTCTGTGACTCATCTGGGTTTTAAGTTTCCACCTGTGTCCTCTTGTTCGTGTTCCACCCGCGCTAAAGAGTTTGTCTTTGTCCACTCTGTCAATTTCCCTGGGAATTTTGTAAGTGGTTATCATGTCTCCCCTTACTCTTCTGTTTTCCATGGTTGTGAGGTTCCCTTAGCCTTTCCTCGTAACTCATTCCTCTCAGTTCCGGGACCAGTCTGGTGGCATACCTCTGAATCTTCTCTAACTTTGTCTTCTGTTTAACTAGGTATGGACTCCAGGCTGGAGCTGCATTCTCCAGGATTGGTCTTACATAAGTGGTATACAGGGTCCTGAACGATTCCTTACACAAGTTTCTAAAGGCAGTTCTTATGTTGGCCAGTCTAGCATATGCCGCTGATGATATCCTTTTGATGTGGGCCTCTGGGGACAGGTTCGGTGTGATATCGACCCCCAGATCTTTCTCTCTATTTGACTCTTGTAGGATTTCACCTCCCAGATGGTATATTGTGTTCAGCCTTCTGCTTCCTTCGCCTAATTTCATTACTTTGCACTTTCCTGAGTTTAACTTTAGCAGCCATTTTCTAGACCATTCCTCCAGTTTGTCCAGGTCGTCCTGTAGTCTCTGTCTATCTTCATCTGTTTTGATTCTTCTCATAATTTTTGCATCGTCAGCAAACATTGAGAGGAATGAGTCTATACCCTCTGGAAGGTCGTTTACATATACTAGAAACAGGATGGGTCCAAGTACTGAGCCCTGTGGGACTCCACTGGTGACATCTCGCCACTCTGACGCCTCCACCCTCACCGTTACTCGCAGTTTCCTATTGCTTAGATACTCCCTTATCCACTGGAGCACCTTACTTTTTACTCCTGCACCACATCTATTCACCACATCTACTTTTAAAATTACGAATATATTTTAAATAATATAATTTATAAATAATATAATTAAATAATATAATTTATAAATAATATAGTTAAATAATATAATTAAATAATATAATTTATAATATATAAAATTACTTCTACAACCTACTCCTTTAATTCATCCCATTTTCTCATTACTCTGAAGGATAAAGAAAACTCCCTAACATCTCTGTGACACATATGACTTGAAATTGGTTCATCTTATACCTCCATGCTTAAGTGGTACTCCAAGGAATGCTTTAAGTCCCAGTTGAATGCTAGTTTCTTGTCTTTTGGGCTACATTATCGTGGTGTTCTCAGTAGTGTGGTTGGTAGAGCTACAGGATTCCGCTTTTTTGGTACTGGGTTCGAGGTTTTTTTCTGGATCCTCACAGGGCTTAGAATCCTGCTATTCTTTATGTTACACCATGACCGGGTCCTCTTGTTTTGGTTCCTCTCCTGGCAATATCCCCCCTTCTTCTAGCTTATGTCATATTGTTACATTCCCCTCATTCTAGTCACCCAATGGTTGAGCAGTGTTCCCATTTTCTGATCTTGTTTACGTCAGTGTCCCCTCCTCCTCCTTATTACTCCCATGCTATACATTGTCTTCCCTTGGTTTGGTGCTCCTCAAGTCAGTGTCCTTACGCTCTGATCCTCTCCCATGCCAGCATCACCTCGTGTTAGTTCCTCCCATGTTAAAATCTGTCTATTGTCAACATTATCGATCTGCTGAGTATTTTGCGTGTCGTGATTATGCCTCCTTGGTTTGTTCTTTACTTCCTTAGTGCGAGAAGTAAATAATCTGTCTCTCCCGTTATTCTGTGCTCGTAATTATTGAATTTCGTCACTTGTGTTATTTGAAGATGTTGTCTTTCAGCACCGAGGTTACTTGCAAGTCAGGCTCGTGATCATTCTACATGCAACAGTGGTTCCCAATTGATCGAGATTGCCCGGTTGGGACTGACCGGTTGGGACTGACCGGTTGGGACTGACCGGTTGGGGCTGATCACCGAGTCAGTCAAATTGTAGCTATTCAGAGAACACTGCAGAGACGGACGCAGATGAACACATTGGGTTCAATATGACGCCGATGCTGTTTGGTTTATGTTGGTCTTAAATAGGCCTGGAGGGTGGGTGGTTGTCTATCATTATCCCATTTTCTCTGACGTCCTATAAATATAGTTATAAGAACTACTTCTGTAGTTTGCTTAAGACTTTCTTCCACTCATCCTCTATCCTTATCTTCCTTAGCTACTTGTATCTTGCTCAGACAAACAATACCTTGTATTCTTCCTGGTAAGCTGTTCACGTCGGAATTTTGGCCAAGGTCTTTGATTTAGGACTTTATATAAAATAAGTCTAGTTTTTTCCTTTTTTCGCTCAAAACTGTTCAAAACTAAAATAAATTGACGGAAGAAATTTGGGTTTTCTCTTTTCAGGAATACTACTGAACAGTAATCTTGAATAAAATCGATTGCAATAAAAAAGCACAACACTATCGCCCAGTGAGGCTCATATATGTGTGATGGTCAGCCTGATTTTGGAATGAGGTGTCAAAATCCCTTTAATGTGCACAGGAAATCATACCGGCCAAGGGGAAGAGGAGATTGGCTCTCTTGCTTAGGATTCATCTAATAGGGTACACACAAGGGGTCTCCCTGAGGTTAGTGACTCAATACTTTGCCAGGTGAACATGCCAGTGTTATATATGGATGTACTGTCCATTACTTCCCTCACTCCCCTTACTTCCCTCACTTCCTTCCTCACTTCCCATCCCTCACTCCCCTTCCCTTACTTCCTTCACTACTCCTAGTTTCCTCACTCCCTTCATTTTCTTTAAGTATTACTTGTTTACATCGCTCCCCTCGTTGCCATTGTTTCCACCACTCCTTTATTTCTCTTGTTTCCCCTCACTTTACTCATTTCCTGTCTTACTCCCTCAAGTTGTTTCCATCGCTCCCCTCACTAATGGCCGTAATAGTCAGTGCATGTGTGTGTGTTTGTCAGCTGAAATAAACGTCGATGAAGATATAGAGATACAAACAGACACTGCCTGTGTCTGTGTCTGTTGTCTGTCTGAGTTTGTCTGTGAGTCTGTCTGTATGTCTGTCTTCACCCACGTGTACACGAGCCTCAAAAGAGAAAATCTCCAATTTTGTTGTTCATTATTTATTTCTTTTTTTCATAGCATTCATTAGTTGCGAGGTCGTTTCCCTTGCCAGTGACGAGCCCTCAAACTCCCTCTGCCCCTCTGCCCCGCTGAGGAGTTGTCTACACTCTCCTGTGTTCCAGCACTCGAAGGTTTCAACACAGCTTCAGTTTTCTTCCCAGTGCCTTTCCAATTTTCCTTTACTACGGGGAAGTGTGCAGGATATTGGTGCTGTTCGCCCTTCCATCAGGGAGGAGAACCCGGCTCAAGTTAACTGTGCATGCTGTGTCTTGACCCAGTTCTCTCTCTCTCTCTCTCTCTCTTGCTTATCCACTTAGACTGGCTGGTTGAGTGGTGGCTGGTTGAGCGGAGGCTGTTGAGCGGTGGCTGGTTGAGCGGTGGCTGGTTGAGCGGTGGCTGGTTGAGCAGTGGCTGGGTGAGCGGTGGCTGGTTGAGTGGTGGCTGGTTTAGGGGTGCCTGGTTGAGCGGTGGCTGGTTGAGCGGTGGCTGGTTGAGCGGTGGCTGGTTGAGCAGTGACTGGTTGAGCGGTGGCTGGTTAATCAGTGGCTGGTTGAGCAGTGGCTGGTTAATCAGTGGCTGGTTAATCAGTGGCTGGTTGAGCAGTGGCTGGTTGAGCAGTGGCTGGTTGAGCAGTGGCTGGTTGAGCAGTGGCTGGTTGAGCGGTGGCTGGTTAATCAGTGGCTGGTTGAGCAGTGGCTGGTTGAGCGGTGGCTGGTTAATCAGTGGCTGGTTGAGCAGTGGCTGGTTGAGCAGTGGCTGGTTGAGCAGTGGCTGGTTAATCAGTGGCTGGTTAATCAGTGGCTGGTTGAGCAGTGGCTGGTTGAGCAGTGGCTGGTTGAGCAGTGGCTGGTTGAGCGGTGGCTGGTTGAGCAGTGGCTGGTTAATCAGTGGCTGGTTGAGCGGTGGCTGGTTAATCAGTGGCTGGTTGAGCGGTGGCTGGTTAATCAGTGGCTGGTTGAGCAGTGGCTAGTTAATCAGTGGCTGGTTGAGCGGTGGCTGGTTGAGCAGTGGCTGGCTGCGCGGTGACTGTAGCTTCTTACAGAGTTTGGTGTTCGATTCCAGATGGTGCGATTAGTTAGGCACTGTTGCTATACTCCCGCCTTATTACCAACTGATCTATACAGTCATATTGGCTTAGCAATTTATTATGCTCCAGTAATTCTTCCAGTACGTTGCCAGGATTAACTAACTTCCTTGCACCACTGCTTTTCCTTATTCTCATATCAGATATAGACAAAAATACAAGTCACAGCTTCGTATCATCCTTTGCAGATGACACAAAAATCAGTATGAAAATTACCTCGGCTGAGGACATTGAAAAACTTCAAGCTGATATTAATAAAGTTTTCGACTGGGCATCAGAAAATAACATGATGTTTAACAGTGATAAATTCCAGGTACTCAGGTACGGTAAAAATGAGGACCTTAAACATTATACAGAGTACAAAACACAATCAAATGTACCCATAGTAGGAAAACAGCATGTAAAGGATTTGGGAATAATAATGTCGGACGACCTAACGTTTAAGGAGCATAACCAAGCAAATATTGCGACAGCCAGAAAAATGATAGGATGGATTACGAGAACTTTCAAATCCAGGGATCCCATCACAATGGTTGTACTCTTCAAGGCACTTGTGTTGTCCCGTCTTGAGTACTGCTCAGTACTCACTTCCCCCTTCAAAGCAGGAGAGATTGCTGAAATAGAGGGAATACAGAGAACATATACGGCACGCATAGACGCAATAAAGCACCTAAATTATTGGGATCGTCTCAAAGCCCTCCAAATGTACTCACTAGACAGAAGACGAGAGAGATATCAAATAATATACACCTGGAAGATACTGGAGGGCCAAGTACCAAATCTACACAGTAAAATAACAACGTACTGGAGTGAACGACATGGAAGAAAATGTAGAATAGAACCAATGAAGAGCAGAGGTGCCATAGGCACAATCAGAGAACACTGTATAAACATCAGAGGTCCGCGGTTGTTCAACGTCCTCCCAGCAAGCATAAGAAATATTGCCGGAACAACCGTGGACATTTTCAAGAGGAAACTAGATTTATTCCTCCAAGGAGTGCCGGACCAACCGGGCTGTGGTGGGTATGTGGGCCTGCGGGCCGCTCCAAGCAACAGCCTGGTGGACCAAACTCTCACAAGTCGAGCCTGGCCTCGGGCCGGGCTTGGGGAGTAGAAGAACTCCCAGAACCCCATCAACCAGGTAACCAGGTAACCCTGAGATAACAGCCAGAATCTTTCTCTGTATTTATACACCTTAAGATAACAATTAACAGAGATTTAGGTTATCATCCTACCCCTTTGCGGATATTTGGTCGAGTAAGGATTCATTTATGTTCCACTCTTGCTGCTTTAGTGAGACATTTCTCAGACTCACGTCTCCTGGGCAAGTTATCTCTAAAGTGCTATTTCATTTACTCTGATTAAAGTTGTAAGAACATGCAATGTCAGTAAGTCAGGGCCTTGAGGGGCTTGTGTTGTGTGCATGTTGAGTCTCGCATTAACACGTATTTATCTTAAATGCTATTTCTTAGGACCGGAGGAGGAGGAGGAGCAAGCATTATTGCTTGCTCATATTGCTTGCGAAGAAATAAGCACTAAACATCTAGTATATATCAGTTATAATAAATGTACTCATTTCCAGCTATACTTTCACTGAATTTTACTGAATTACACAATAGTAAAGTTTCAATATATATTTTGTTTTCTCTTTAATTGAATATTTGAGGAAATTTTCAAGATATTCGAAGGAAAATACAATTCAACTTTTACGCTTAAATCTAATACCACGTGAAGCACATTGTTCATTATTAACATTTACGGTCGTCTCAACTCGCTATAAAATTTGAACATCAAATACAGTAAAAGCATTACATTAATAATGAGATTACTTTATGAGTTTACGGGACAGTGTATATGATGTAAACTCATGAATTCATGTTTCTGACCTCAAGTTTAGTAGTTTATTGATGTGTTATTGTGCAGTCTGAAATTAAATTGATTCTCTTTCTCTCTTCTACAATGAGAAAATCAAAATGTCTTCTATCAATGAGAAAAAATGCTTCAAGTGAAGTATCAGTGAGACTTCCTCATTGATACTAAACGTTAATGTGACTTATTTGTGCATTTGAAGAATAGCGTCAGAGGTAGAATTCCTTGACTACAAGACATGGTGGAAGGGGGGGGGGGCAGTGTGTGAAACCTTGGTTAGGCTTCAGTGTAAACCTCAGGAGCCCTAGAAAATTCACTCGAATCCCAGGTTGCATGGTTTGAATCCGAGGTTGTAGTGGTCTAAGGCTTAGTTCAGCTTTGAACCCAGAGCATGGGTTCGAATCCTGATCATGGTTTGTGAAGAGCAAGAAGGAGATATATTCTCTGTGGAAGCCTGGAGTTAATATAATTTGTTTATTTTATCTTCTTGAACCAAAATGTTGTTCGTGAATTATTAACTAATTCATTCTGTAATTAGTAACATTCTAGACACAAGTGTTTGGGGCGAGAATGAGACTCAGGCAGCAGTTACAGGAAGACAATATTCACAAACAGAACAACAAATATACTCAAATACAGTAAAAAATTATGTCCCGGTAACTGTCTAACTTGAGAACAACGAGAGTCCCAGGTGAAGCAAGGAGGATATAGTGGGAGACGCAAGGGTGAAGCAAGGAGGATATAGCGGGAGACGCAGGGGTGAAGCAAGGAGGATATAGTGGGAGACGCAAGGGTGAAGCAAGGAGGATATAGTGGGAGACGCAGAGGGTGAAGCAAGGAGGATATAGTGGGAGACGCAGAGGGTGAAGCAAGGAGGATATAGTGGGAGACGCAGGGTGAAGCAAGGAGGATATAGTGGGAGACGCAGGGGTGAAGCAAGGAGGATATAGTGGGAGACGCAAGGGTGAAGCAAGGAGGATATACTGAGAGACGCAGGGGTGAAGCAAGGAGGATATAGTGGGAGACGCAGGGGTGAAGCAAGGAGGATATACTGAGAGACGCAGAGGGTGAAGCAAGGAGGATATAGTGGGAGACGCAAGGGTGAAGCAAGGAGGATATACTGAGAGACGCAGGGGTGAAGCAAGGAGGATATAGTGGGAGACGCAGAGGGTGAAGCAAGGAGGATATAGTGGGAGACGCAAGGGTGAAGCCAGGAGGATATACTGAGAGACGCAGGGGTGAAGCAAGGAGGATATAGCGGGAGACGCAGGGGTGAAGCAAGGAGGATATAGTGGGAGACGCAAGGGTGAAGCAAGGAGGATATACTGAGAGACGCAGAGGGTGAAGCAAGGAGGATATAGTGGGAGACGCAAGGGTGAAGCAAGGAGGATATACTGAGAGACGCAGAGGGTGAAGCAAGGAGGATATAGTGGGAGACGCAAGGGTGAAGCAAGGAGGATATACTGAGAGACGCAGGGGTGAAGCAAGGAGGATATAGTTGGAGACGCAGGGGTGAAGCAAGACGGACACAGTAGGAGACGCAGGGGTGAAGCAAGACGGACACAGTAGGAGACGCAGGGGTGAAGCAAGACGGACACAGTAGGAGACGCAGGGGTGAAGCAAGACGGACACAGTAGGAGACGCAGGGGTGAAGCAAGACGGACACAGTAGGAGACGCAGGGGTGAAGCAAGACGGACACAGTAGGAGACGCAGGGGTGAAGCAAGACGGACACAGTAGGAGACGCAGGGGTGAAGCAAGACGGGTACAAGTGGGGATCAGGTTGGGAGGGAAGGAGAGAGTTGACAGTGTAAAGAGGAGAGGAAATAGTAACGGTTGAGGATGGTCCTGGTGATGAAGAGAGAGGTGTGGAGGGAGGTGAGATGGAGCGTGAAATGGGTTGAGGATGAAGGAAGAAGGAAGGAAGGATGAAAGGAGAGGAACAGAAGGATAAGAACTGGAAGAAGGAGGGTGGAAAATAGGGAAAATTAGAGAGTTGGTGAAAGGGAGTTGGCACAAATTGTACCTTAATAAATATGTTATTTTTTATTTAAGTTCGCAGTGTTGACTAACTTCCTGCAATGTTTGAGGGCGCTCCAGTCCCTCTCCCTTCATGGGTTATATTTTCTGGTCCCTAGGATGGGTCTATGTTCCTAGCAGGGGCTGTGTGTTCCTAGCAGGGCTGTGTGTTCCTAGCAGGACTGTGTGTTCCTAGCAGGGCTCTATGTTCCTAGCAGGGCTGTGTGTTCCTAGCAGGGCTGTGTGTTCCTAGCAGGGCTCTATGTTCCTAGCAGGGCTGTGTGTTCCTAGCAGGACTGTGTGTTCCTAGCAGGGCTCTATGTTCCTAGCAGGGGCTGTGTTCCTAGCAGGGCTGTGTGTTCCTAGCAGGACTGTGTGTTCCTAGCAGGGCTCTATGTTCCTAGCAGGGGCTGTGTTCCGAGCAGGGCTGTGTGTTCCTAGCAGGGCTGTGTGTTCCTAGCAGGGCTCTGTGTTCCTAGCAGGGCTGTGTGTTTCTAGCAGGGCTGTGTGTTCCTAGCAGGGCTCTATGTTCCTAGCAGGGCTGTGTGTTCCTAGCAGCGCTGTGTGTTCCTAGCAGGGTTGTGTGTTCCTAGCAGGGCTGTGTGTTCCTAGCAGCTCTCTATGTTCCTAGCAGGGCTGTGTGTTCCTAGCAGGGCTCTATGTTCCTAGCAGAGGCTGTGTTCCTATCAGGGCTGTGTGTTCCTAGCAGGGCTCTATGTTCCTAGCAGGGCTGTGTGTTCCTAGCAGGGCTCTATGGTCCTAGCAGGGCTGTGTGTTCCTAGCAGGGCTGTGTGTTCCTAGCAGGACTGTGTGTTCCTAGCAGGGCTGTGTGTTCCTAGCAGGGCTGTGTGTTCCTAGCAGGGCTGTGTGTTCCTAGCAGCGCTCTATGTTCCTAGCAGGACTGTGTGTTCCTAGCAGGACTGTGTGTTCCTAGCAGGGCTGTGTGTTCCTAGCAGGGCTGTGTG